GTCGACTACATGAGGCTCCGATGGCATCCACGTGTGCTGCTGGGCGCGCTTGAAGAGTGCAGGATTATATCCGCACCCGATGAAGGTGAGCACTGTCTGCAGGACTTCAAGAACAGCCATCCAGAAGCCACTGCGGTACGACCCTGCACTTCCGAGTAAATAGCTGGCTTTGGCCTCCCAGCTATTGCTCCAACCGGTAGCCAGGAGTGAGTGTGTAAGAGACTGTGCGGTGTGAGTAGTTACCTGCTAATAATAATATATTGATCCTATCGATAACCACAAAGATTAAAAGGTATCTTCAGAAATAGTGGTTGTAATCTGTCTACCCCTCTGCCCTCAGTCGTGTTCAGTAAAAGGGGATGTACGACGTGAGCATGATCAGTAATTGAAATAAATGAAGAAAAATTGCTTACCCTTTAATGCAGCATGGCATTTCCCCTTTTACTGCTCTTTACCTCTCTCGGTAGTCTGAGGCCACCCAGATGGAGCAGCCACATGATCTCAACCAATCCCTCAAGCTGAGTGGTTAATATTAATAAATCTGCAGTTTATCTACAGCAAATTTGAGGGGAATCTTAATTCTCTAAGACAGCAAGATGAACATTCACCAAACCTAATGCAGTTGTTTTCCTTTTGAAGGTTGAACAGCTCAAAGAGGAAATCTGTGAGTATCAGAAGAGCGAGAAGCAAGGACTTCCACTGCCCGCACCAACGGAGACTGAAGAAGCTGCAGCATCCTTGCTGCAGGTATTTTTAAGGGCTTTTTGTTTGCCATTCTAGAAAGCAAAAGAGGCCCCCCTCTGCATTTCAGCCCCATGCCATAAATGAAGACACGCGGCTTGTAGTGCCGAAACGCTTGTGTTTTCCTTTCTACGTGTGAAATATATTCATTTGATTCGTGTGATGAGGTGTAATCTTCTGTACTTTTATGGATTTCTCCTGCACCATAAAAAGGGGTATTTTACAGGAGAAAGTTAAACTACTTTGCTGGTATATCAGCTCAAACCAGTTTGACCACTGACCACATAGTATTGTGTAAAGAAAGTGCATGCATAGGGTTTGGGGTCATCCTGGGGGCACGCCGAGGAAGATTCGAGAAGACTCTAGCAGGAGAAGAGGGCATGCGCTGAAGAAGACACGCCTGTTCATTAATATATATTAGAAGACACGCCCATTCATGAATATGTATTGGCGAACAGGATCAGCTGAGGAAGATACGAGACGATTCTAGAAGGAGAAGAGGGCATGCGCTGAAGAAGACACGCCTGTTCATGAATATGTATTAACGGACAGGATATAAACCAGGAACAGGAACTGTACCGCGTGCGTCTTGGTGGAGCAGAGACTCCCGGCGCACCCAGCGCTGTTTGCTTGCCTCTATTCGCTTAATAAATTGTAAATTTGAATTGGAATCCTGTTTGGGACTAAATCATTTATAACATACGTGTGCATGCATCCTGTGCAGGTGTGACGCAGGATTTATGCTGGCATGACGAATACATTAATGTGTAGAACATGTCTGTTGGCGTAAGCTAATACCCACTCATGCCTTCGTATTATTATGGGTCCTGGGGGGGTTTACTCCTATGGCCAGTGGATTACCTAATGCAGATAGATGTAGATGATGTAGCTCATGTTTTCTGGTTGTCTTGTTTATTTATGAGAGACTCAGGTAGCTTTGGAATCACATTGTGCTAAGATTTCAGTCTTAATTACATGCTAACTTTTCATTTTTCTCCTGAGTCACAGGGCACAAAGGATGAAGGGAGGGTTGAAGGAGACTGCATTTCAGGCAAAGCTGTCTCAGATCAAGACGACAGATATCAGAGTAGTGAAACACTTCATAAAAGGTGAGCAGTGTATTTTCACGGTGGCTTATCAGGCACTCTGGTTGCTGGTATTCTGTCTTGCAGGGTGGATTTAATTATTAGATTCTTTGGAATACTCTTTGGTACTAACTTTGGTCCTCTGCTCCCAAATCAGAAAGTTTGGAGGTAATGCAGTCCTGAGTGGGTCTGTAGCCCTTGGTATCTAGAATGCATGCTGTTTTCTGATACTTTCTCCAGTTTGTTGCTTTCCTAAAATGATAGGCTTAGGCTTTTGTGGCTCTCTGCAGACAAAAGTGTTATTGTCAAAAAACTGTTTTTCTGCTGGGAAAACTTCTTTGTATTTGGTTACTGTCCAGGGGTGTACCAAAACACTTGGCTTGCAAAGTTAAGTATGTAAACTGGGATTTTTAAGGGAAGTCAAGGCTTCATTCTCCTGTGGCCTGCTCAGGAAGCTGCTGTGCCTCTTCTAGCAGGTTCAAGGAGGAAAGGGGGTCTGATCCCGTCACTCTGACTCTTTTTCCCTTCAAATGCCCAAGCCTGTTCCCCCAACCTCAGAGCGGTTGAATTTGGCATTGCCTCTCTGCTTTTAGCATCCTTGTGCCTGAGCATTTTTCTCCCCAGGCCTTCATCATTACTTGTGTAGAGCCTGTCACCTCTAGTTCCCATGCATGGACACCTAAATAAGAGCAGGCACGGGTCATGCTGGATGCGAGACTCAAAATACTCCATAGTGAAAAACCCATTGGCTTTTCCTTGCCAGTGGTAATAAGTGGTTTGGATGTGCGTCAATGCTGTCCATGTTTACGTAGCAGTTCTACCCTTGGTGACGTCGGCCTTTGGTGCGTAGGTGCCGAGAGGTGATTGAAAACATCGAGGGCAGGAATTCACAGCTCCTTCACAAGCTGCAAAAACTGGAGCAGGAGCATGAGGATTTGGTTGAGCGCAATGAAGAGCTGGAATCAATTCTGGGAGAGACGCAGATCCAAACCAAGCAGGAGAAGGAACAGTTTGAGATTGAGGTGGAAGGACTTCACCGGAAAGTAAGTAAAGAATGGAAGAAATATGGTTTGGTTTTGTTTAATTCTAGCTCCTTTTCTCTCTGCATATTGATTAGTAAAGTAAAAGTATGTTTGACCTAAACCTGCATGCCGCTTTGTTTAGTTTGACAAGAATTGCAACTAGCAAAATCTGCTGGTTTCAGAAAAGAGAGGCAAAGAAGAAAAAAATTCCCGCAGTGAGTAAATGACGCTTGCTTGGAGGTGCAGGTTCCTCTAATGTCACAGCAGCATTGTCTTTTGCAGCTCCTGTCTCCCCTCCTTGATGCCTGGGCAAGCAGAGTTAACTAGGTAACGTACCTCCTGCATCCACAGGAGTGAGATTGGCAACGGTCCCTTCCCACACAGCCTTTCTGTGGGCTGTGCACCTTTCCGTTTCTTGGCTGAGCTGAAGCAACTTTTGTGGCTTAGAAGCTCAGACTTCCCCTGAGAGGCTGCCCTAGATGGCAGCAGTGCTCCTGATGGACTTCAGCGTTGATCTCCTGCAGGAACTGCTTCTCCATGTTGGATGATTGTTTCTTCTGCCTGTGGTTC